GCCACGGGTCGTTCTCTGGGAAACAAAGTAATGTCTCAATCCTATGAATAAGGATAAACGAAGCATAAGAATCGCAGAGAGCAACCTTGTGTCGTAATAGAAAATATTTTTGAAACACGCGTACAAAGGGGTGTACGATTCAACGGTGCGACGTACCGTAGAAAAATATATCAACGCGGTAGAAAAATATATCGATTCTTCAGTGTGCCACGATCGCACCTTGAGCTTACACAATGGACTCCCTTTCAGTTAGGATCGAGAGGAAAAATTGTATCGGCCCGGGCGAAGGAGATGTTTTCTTTTTTTTGGTCCTTTAATCTCGACTATTTCACACCGAGCCCTCTCGCGAGGGTCTTCGGGCTGTTAAACGTTTCCTGGTCCCGCGACTAAATCTGCTTAAACGAGCTGCCGACCAGAATGGAGCTGATACAACTTTTTTCCGCTTCTCTTTATCCTCCGCTGTTCTTCCCGTTGCTGTTTTTGTCGACATTGATTTACGCGAGTTTGCATTTTCCAAGGGTGTTCTTTCGAGGCGTCTTCCAAAGACGTTTAATGAACTCAGCAGATGTTTCCATTAAAAGAAATGCTTACTTTTCCTGGTACCTACTATTCTGCTCGAATATTTCCGGCTGTAGTTTTAGCTGGAAATTGTTCGCGTTAAAGACAATGGAACATCGCGACTAGCAATAACAATTCGTATTTGTGTTTTCCGTTTGGTTAACGTCCACGTACGTATTTCCTTGGAACAATTCCGTGCGCGCGATGTTTGCGATCGTACGAACGCGCCTTCCTTTGGGAAACGAAAAGTCGAACCGCTTGTTTGCACGGGACGCGTGCACAAAATGTTTAAACGCGTGTTAAACAAACGGAAGCTCGTTTAAACGACAGTTAGCGGACCGTTAGTCACAGTTAAGTGATCAAACATTGACACCCGATATCTCCGATCGCCCTCTCGATTATTATCGATACCATCGTCTCATGAAATTCGTTTCTCTGTTTCAGGGAACAAGCACTTTTCGAAAGAGAAAGATAAGAAAAATATAGCGAAAGTTAATTTTTTTAAGACGAACAAATATTTTATGCTCCCAATGGTTGGCAGCCATGCGAAAAGGATAATTGCAAAGAGAAACGCAACGATTCCCGGTGAAAAACGAATTAGTTTTCCGTACGGAGCTTTATTGATTAAGTAATCTTAATACATCGCTGGGCCGCAATGTACCATAAAGAGAGCGGAACCGGAAACGATCCATTCTTAGCGGGGAATATGCTTTGTCGGTGGTCGCTCGCCGCTCGGAATTTCTGCTTTGATTAATCTTCCTCGACTTTTTCCGTCCGCAAAGACTTATCATCTCGAGCGATGCACGCTATCTGGCAACATTCCAGTACGCTTTGCACTCAGCTTCGCCTTTTGAGATTCATCGGACAATGCCATTTTCTAAGCGCCAAGAGATCTCTGCTTTGGGACAGAATTTTCGGTAACTCTATTTCCCGCAACTCCAAGATAATGGATAACTAGTTTCCTATCCAAATTACTCGGAGAAGATGGAGAAGCGTCGAGCGACGAATTCGGCTAGTTAATCGGGAGACTCTCGACCACCTCGAATCGGTTGTTGAACCGTTCGACATCCGTAGGTTCTTTTCAAACTCCTAGCAACACAATGGGCCGTCGGTCAGAAAATTCTCGGGATTGAAAAAGTTTCGACGAATTTCTTTCTCCCCTCGGACATTCAGATTTCCGTCGGACGCACCGAGAGAAGTCTGATCGAACAAATACTAAACGCGCCTTTGGGGCGATCGTCCTACGAGAAAAAGTTTCTTCCACTCTCTCTGTATAGGTTGCTCAATCCTCGAAAACAAACGTGCCTGACAGAGATAATTACACGATTTCTCGAAAAAAATTTGTACGAAAATTCCTCGTTTTAATTTAACGTCATCTTCGAAAGCTATTCGATGAAAGGACTATAGAGATTGTCGATAAAGACACAGGCTGAAAAGGAGCACGCAACGCGGGCGTGGAATCGATATCAATTAGGATGCTTCTTCCGGTCACGTGTCGTCGCACCCCGGTATAATATTGGCACGTGTCGTACTGTGACTTTTAAAAAACGTTGATAAAGAAGGAAGGTCGTTTCCGGTTCCGACAATGGTACCTACACTGCGTTTCAACTGGATCACACGACCCGAAGGGTTATCAGAAGTGGAATGCATCCCTGCTGGCCTATCCACCATCCGTCCGCATAATTATCGACTTCCTCTCCTGTCGTTGCTGTCTACGCTAGCACGTTGCACTTGTACATACGTTACGGTGCACCCCTTGCTTGGACATGTTGCAAATTTGGTAATTGTATTTTTTAAACACTCGTATTCCTCTCTAATGTTTCCTTCTTCAAAGGAATGACTTACTTTTCTGTCTCTCTCTCTCTCTCTCTCTAAATTCGTACCATTTGCAATCGTAGAGCATGTTCTCGTTTCGTTAAGATAAGTCCGCCAATGGTGGTCTAGCAGAAAACAGTCGACGTTAACGTATGCAAGGACTAGAGGGTTAAAAGAGTCCACGCAAACATCTCATACATTACACGAAATTTCCACCCCACGGAAACCAGCCAATAAAACACCCCCGGAACACGGGTGTCGTCCATTCACCCTCTTCGCTCTGACCCGTAACTGCATTGTCGAACTTTTTTCGTTTTTTTTTCCATCCCTTTCTCTCCGCCTTTGACGCCGTTGTCCATCCACGCTCCCTTTCCCTCGCGCAATTTTGCTTTTCTCTTTTTTCCACGATTCTCGAAGTGCGCGTACACCCCCTCGATTACATTCGGAAATATTAGGGGACGTCCCGCCGTTCGACAAACTATCAATTTATTTTCTTTCATTGATCGGGACCCCGCGACGTTGCCCTGCCCCGTGCTTTTTTTTTCTCGTTTCTGCGCGACGTCTTCTGCTTTGTCCTTGGAGAGATACGTCCTCGATTCTTCAACGAGTAAGCCCGCGCGTCTTCCAAACTCTTCTTGTTCGTACAGTGAGCATTTTACGCATTTCAAGAGTCGTGGTTGAGCGTAGACGTCGGCCGAACGAGCACATCCTTCGTTGCCCGGAGAAAGTCGACGGACTATGTCCAAATCTCTACAGATTACGGCTGGTCATATAAATCACGAGTTTGCAGCCGGGTTGAATGTTATCTCGCGCTTCCGGTTCGGCGCACCGAGGTTCCGCGCACACGCTCGCGGAACATTCCTCGTGGGGTGGTTTCGTTTTATACAAGGACCCGAGCACAAAGCATATGCTGCCCGCTGTCCACTCCATTTACCTCGCAACGTCATCTCTCTCGTTACGTCGCGTCGGTCCCGGGGAAGATAACTGCCGCAAAAGGGATCGTCGGATGGGGACAAAGATTTGCCAAATTGCTGCGCGAAAACCGGAGAATGGTCTTTGGTCATCGGTTCTAGTTGCGCTCCGATCGATTCCGTATATCGAAGGAAATTGTATCGATGAAAAACCCAAAAATAATTTTATTTTCGATCAACAACTCTGCGATATTCCGTTGCCCGATTTGCTTAGATCTTTGCGAAGGGTAATAGTAAAAGTACTAGTGCACCACTGATAACGAAACGTGGCGAATCACGTCGCTGTCTTTTACGGTAGAATGAAACGTAAAATTCACCACCGATCGAGATAATTCGACAAATAATTCAGATACGTAATCGATGATTGATTAGTGTTTTCGTAAAACGCAAAAAAGCCGTGAACATAAATCCCAGCGCGCGATACGAGGCCACGTAATGCTCGATCTGATTAATCCGATTGGTAACCGATAATTTCGATCGCGAGCGATAAAGAGAAGTTGCCGATAAAGCTTGCTTGCGTAAACTCGTTCAACGATTTTTGCCCCTAAGACACCATCACGTGGTTGCGTATGAACGATTAAAATCTCGTCGTTTAATATTCGATGTCCGTGGTAAAGCTAATTACCATTGAGAGTTATCTTGGCGATGAATCATCCTATAAAATATATGAGAATTAATTTAATTGTTGGTGATGATATTTCAACCCTGTTGAAGACGATCAGTGGCTCAAAGAGATTATGCAAGCTTGTACGAAAAAACAAGACAAGTATGGGTGACCAAACGATATGGCGGGGATAATGAGTCTCGAGTAACCTTGAGTCTAGTTGGTTTTTAATCGACTATAGACAGCTATTGGACAATTGTCCAGTGATTCCTTTAGATCCAGTGATACAAAGTGACAATCTTATCGATTCTAAGAAACTCCTGGGAAAAGTACAGTTTCTTTCTGTAAACAAAACACTTTTACAAGTTGCATGTTTACGTCCACGAGAACAGTCGCAGTAACAAACCGGCTGCGAAATGAACAATTTTTGAACAGAAGTCGAAAAGCGCTCCCCTCGAGACTCGATAGGACGCCCTCAGGAAATCTAAACCGGTAACAAGATGGCTGCTCGGAAACGGAAACCGGAAGCTTGTCACTCAAGCTACACTGGCTTCCGGCGTGTTCTGAAAAAGGGAAGCGTTATAGAACGGTCCAGGAGAGAAATAAAAAGGGACGAGAGACGGTGAAAGGGGACGTAGCGTCTCGAGTATATATATTGTTTAATCGCATTAGACGCGAGTGTGGATACAAAGAGATTCTGCAATCCGGAGCTAGTGTATTCGTCAAGGATCGTTAAATAAAACAAGTAAACTTTTTAGCGCGTCGAAGAACCAAAGGAAATCTTGAAATAAAATTTAATCGGGAGTATTCGACTGGAGAAAGAAAAATAAGATCTTTTACTTGCTTAAGGTTTGATTTTATTAAATATGAATCTGATATATTAGACTACTATGTATTATATACAATGTACATATATACAACCGATCGATGAAATTACATACTACCTATTTAAAGGCGGTAAACTGGGATTTTTTTCTCGACTATTCGAGTACGTCACACCCTCGATTCGCCTTCTATACAATTACAATATAATACCTGCTCTTTCCCCCCCCCCCCCCCCATTTGTCAGACAAGTGCACTAAAACAAGAACAATCGTTCGTTTCACAGAATTTCGGAATGCAACTGCGCGTGGCGCGAGAAAGCATACTGGAATTATTTTTCATTTAGTTTGAAGAGAAATTGTTTCCCAACGTATTATCTCGTTATCGCGATTAAATTGATAGAAAGCGAGGTGTTCGAGTTACATAAGCGACGAACAATCTCTACGATTGCTTTTGTTTTCTTTTCTTTTTTTTTTTATTTCGGGAACACTCAACGGCTGAAACAACCTTATTTGTACAAGTTCATCGTGGACATGTATCATTTTGAAAGTTTCTATAATATTAATATCAAATTTTACAAGTCTTTCTTCGTCCTCTGACCTGTTTCTTCGTTCGTAAGAAAGTTCGCTATACAAACTATGATAACCGAAACACAGATATTTTAATTTCAATTTCTTTCGTTGAACGATCGAAGGAACGAGTTAGGTAATCGAAGAAATCGCTTAAAATTTGTTATCGATATAATTTATCCCGATATATCGAACAACGAATGACTCCTTAACTTCGAATTTGTTTAATATCGTTAAGTACGAACGCGACGTTTCGAAACACACGCTACACCAACTAATTTCCACGCTACACGTGATCTCTTGTACAAAGAAAAAAAGAGAAACGAAAGAACTTCCCGAACAATGAATTCACAACTAACAACTCTACTTATCTACTTATTTGCGCTAGATCACTTTCTCGCCGCGACCTGTTCGGTACGTTCGAACAACGTCCATCGATCGCGAGCTATCTTTGGTTTCATACGATATCGCGTCGCTTCCTCGATTCGAATAGTATAATCAAATCACCGTTAGCTTCTTACGATGATAGTCTCTGTTAGAGAAGAGTTCGCTCGTTCAGTCCACGTCAAACGTTTCGACCGACGCGACAGTGCGTTTGTTCATCAATTGCAACTCGACGGTTGTTGCCTTTCGACTGTCTCTATCGTTATTTAGGACTCTACGTTCACTGTTACCGATAAACAGTATCTACGCTAGTAATACGGTCGACATGTAGAATTCTTACTACAAACAGTAAGGAACATCTCCATTCTGCGCTATGGTTCTTTTTTAAAATTCCGAGACAACCGTTTTCACTGATATCCACAATAGAAAGAAAGATAACGTTATCTTAAGAAAATCGTCGTCTTTAATATCGTGCTTCAATGTCCGTTGTCTTCTTCTGTCTCCGTAATATCAAACTCGTATCTGCACTGGTTGACGTTTACTTGCCATAGTTTGCACTGGTTCTAACGTTGACCTGGATAAAAACCACAATGTTCTCCGACGTATTCACTCACTAACAATAAGTTGTTCACAAATCGTTCTACCGACGCATCTGGATAACATATAGCCACTGAAATGTATCGTCACGAATCCCTCCCAAGAGTTCAGCTACTCTGCATACGTCTAAACGTTCACAAGAGTTTCTTTTACCACCAATAGGGTTTTTGCATGTACGGTGGCATAGGTACCTGTCCGGTGCTGGGATACGTGGACGGTTCCATTAGTTTTGACTGACAAGGTTTTCCATCTTTTATCAGCAACGGAACGGCGACTCTCCTTGGCGAACATCCGCTCCCACTGGCCTCTACCCTCTCGGTAGCCGCCCTCTTCGTTTTGTACCTGTGGTTCTGGAACCAGATCTTCACTTGCGTGGGCGTCAGCCGGATTATCGAGGCCAGATGCTCCCTCTCCGGAGCGCTCAGGTATCTCTGCTGACGGAAACGTCTCTCCAATTCGAAAGTCTGCGCCTTGGAGAACAAAACTCGCCGTTTCCTCTTCTTGTGCTCCGTCTCGTGGGGTTGAGCGTCGCTCGTCTGTTGCTCGTCCTCGAAATCCGCCGATTCTTCTTCCTTGCATTCGTGGCTGTTCTCCTGCTTCGGGGCAAAGGACAAGTCCGAGATCGCTGGGCTGGTCGAGTCTGGCTGCTGTAGCACTGGAACGGTAAGAACGCCTCGGTTATTCCAAGGTTCGTAGAAACACGTATATCTAATTTGCTAAGTTGTCGACAAATATCATCATCGAATGGTCTCAAAGGAAACGTATTCGTACGATGAACGACCATTCGCCGACGAGACTTGAGAAATCGATACAGGCTTGCATCTGCCTGCAATCAGCGTTAACAGTCGAAGGGTACTAGACAATGCAGCTGCAAGTTCGGCCCCATTAATTTTCGTAATGACTCCACTTTCTAAACGGTGCTCATCGATTTTAGAACAGTTTACGACGCGATACGTCCAATTCTCTTCAACGTGTACGCGGTTTAATCTAACAATATTTTGATTAGCCTTGCGTTAAAGTGGCAAATACCACGACGACCGAGAGACACGTTAATTTAATGTACAACGACGAGTCCCTGCTTTAGCGAGCACACAATACGTTTTTGTGAGCGATCCCTAACTTGGTTTGGGGAGGGTGTGAAGCAATATAAAGCCTGTTTGATACCGACGCGGCCTCGTCCACCCCATGGGATCGACTGTATCATTTTCATGGGAGATTAGACTCTACTCGCAGTCGTGATTTCAATTAGACACCCGCCACCGTTACTTTCGCGTGTTTAAAGGAAACGATTCGACGATTAATTGTGCCCTTGTTGCCGAAAAGTTACTTGGTACTTAAATTTAGAGAATATAAACATCGTATTATCCTTACCTAAATTATTTTTATCGTAAATAATTCTAAACGTTGTCGTTGAGATGAAAAAGTGAGATACTCGTCGATAAATCGGAACGAATTCCCTTCCTAACTGTACGATCGAGCAACCGCGACACAATCCACGACAACCTTTTCACGCGTAAATAGGCTTCAGATCGTCCTGGACCCCGATTTCTCGGTTTCACGGTACACGACGAGTCGAGAAAGCGAACAGAGGAGAGATAAGGAAGAGATAGAAAAGAGCCGATTGGCTACCGGTAGATTTTTTGGGCGTGACGATTCCGATTCATCGAGGGCCTACAGGGCTACACGCATCTGTCCTCCGTAGGACATCTGTCCCCCTGTACGGGCCAATCGGTGAACAGCAGCCACAAGGACCTTTTATAGGACCATTAGATCCTGCTTAGCCGACGCGGACCAATTGTAGGGTGTTAAATAAATAAGGGTTACGAGCTGTTCCCCTCCTTTATCAACGTATATTTGCACGAGTTTTGTGGATTGCGTGATTGTATCGAGTTAAGAGGAATCTTTTTCGTTTAGGAAGATCGTGTCTTACGATTAAACTAACAGAGGAATATAGTTGGATTAGGCATGGTTTCATTCAGAAATAATCTTCGTTATTGTCTAATAAAAATATACGCTATCTAAGATTCTTCTTTCGTATATGTACATCACGGAGACTCGACAGTGTAAAGTATCGATTACATTGATAACATGATCTCTGTACGATTGTGAGTAACTGTGAGTCTTTGCAATTGACTAGACGCCACATGTCTTCGGATACCTTAAAGTACGCACAAGTATCAAAGTTACTGCTATCGTCGTACCTAATTTGTCGGGACAATGTAGCTGTCAGAAAATACTCTAATCGAAGCTCTCCGTTGACGAAATGAAAACGATATCATTGCTCACCATTAAGTTCTTCCAAAGGCTGTGGTAAGGTGGCTGGTAACGTTGGACCAGCAGGCCATCCCAGCAGCCCAGGTGGCGCCGGTGGTAGGGTACCTCTGTTGAGGTTCGCGTACAACGCGGGTTGCAACATGGCCGTCGTATGCTCGAAAAATTGTTGATAGGCCGACGGAACATCGTTTGCGCTCGGTAGAACCGTGGTGCTTCCTGTAACGAACATTTCGAGAAGATAGTCAAAAGTCTAGATCTTGACCTAATCGTTGGTTCGTTTATTAGACTATCACATATTCGTTTGCACCTACCTTGGACCTCCGTTTCCTCCTGAGACGGCTTCGAGTCGAGCTGCAGGATGTCATGGATGTGGAAACTCGTTCTGGGCATCTTTATGCTCTCCAATATTCTGCAACAAGATGTGCAGAGTGTAGCGAAAGAATTCTATGAAGGTCCCACGATTAGCAAAATTAAACAACTGAACATTGTACGTGAATGCAGGCCAATTCAAGATAATTTAACGCGTTCGATCAAAGAACGTAAACAATGGACTGGATCGTCACAGAGGGTCTCATTCGAACGAAAGGATTCCGCGAGTCGAGAAGTCGTGAGCACAAAGGTCGGTTTCGAACGAATCAATCCAATTTTCCAAACTTGGAAGTCGCCCGCGCCGTGACGAGCGTCAAGAAGCCAGCCGGCCCTTTAAGCCGGCAGATTAGACGCGTCTTTTCCGCCAAAGGACAGACCTCTCGCGGGATACCTGCAGTTTTCCTGCAAACAACCTGTCGAGGCACAGAAGCGAGTTTCTGGCCTTCCACTTTAAGCCAAGCGACCTATTATCGCGGCACGTTCGACCACGTTCCTCAATGAAAGCCCTTCTTCGGATCGACGCTGGGCGACCACGAATCTCGATCCCTTCGAGGACAGATTAGTTTATTAGAAATACACGGATCCGTATTATGCCATTAGTAAATTGAATTACAGTGGAACGTTGATTATTAAAAGGTCGATCAATCTTGGTTAAGCTTCTACGAGTTTTATCTTTCGACTTAAAGAGAGCCTATGAGAAAAGCGAGGAACATGTCTGAAAGAATCATTTCACGTCGAAGATCGTTTTCCGTCTAATAATTAAAGTTTCTTGGCCCTCGTTAACGCGAACTTACGAACTTACGAAACTGCGCAAAGTATTTTAATGAAAGAAGTTGTTGAAAATTCTCCTATTCAGCGGGTTTTAGCTAACGTGATGCAAGCCTGTCCCTGCCATCAATTACATCGTAAATTGCGGCGTTGAAATCACTGGCGATTTCAACGTATAATTCAACTATTGTATCAACTTTGAATTCGTTTGATTTGCGTTGTTTTTGTTTTTACGAATTACAGACAAACCGTTGCAAACTTTGATCGACGAAACGGCACGCGTTCGCGATATTTGCCAAGGGTACCGATAATCGAACAGAAACGCGTCTCGATAAGCCGCGATACATATTGTCGAAGCCACGTGGAAGAATTCGAGGGCCATCAAGATCTCGAGGCGATTACGAGACGACTCGAGTTATCGATGGAATTATCGAGAGACCCCCAACAACTTTTCGTTTCATTTTCATCCCATCTCGAGTTTTGTATTGCATATCATTCTTTAGTTTCCTCGAAAACAAGGATATAGGATGCAATAGATACTGTATACTGTAATCGCGAGCTACCAGGGTCAACGAAAAATGAAAGAAAAATTGATCGAGTTGGATGTTTGATTTGAAACAAATTGCTACCAAATTTCTACCGTAATCTACGAGAGAATACCAACCGGAATGCATGCGGAAATATGCTCCGTGAAAGGATAGCTAGTTTCTAGAATGGGTGACGGAGGATAAGAAAGCTTCGTTACACGTGATAGTCGGTTTTGATGGTTCGTTTACCTATTATTGAAAGCAAGGTGGCTGTACCAGACGTGATTCAAGAGACTGGTCGGATAGGATAGCAGCGACCACGGCAGAATCGTATTCTTGTCCGCCATTTTGAAAGGGGTATCAGAGAGGTGTTTAGCGGCGTCGGTACATGTTAGGAAACGTCCTCGTTGGTTCGCTCGTTTCGCGCGAACTTGCTCGAAACCGAATATATTTCCTCTTTAATTCTCTCCCTTGAGTTCTCGTTATCTTTTCTTTCTACCCCTCTTTTAGCCTCTGCTCTCTAATCTCTCTCTCGTACCTTCTGTTTACTTTTCACTCGTCCACTTTCCTCCACCTTTCTATTCTGCCTGTCCGTCCTCACTTTTCCAAACACGTCACTCTGGCTACCGAACACCCGATGGTTCAACGATCACTCGTGCACATCTCCTTTTGGTCCACGAACAGTTCCTCCGGGTTCATCGTCCAGGCACACGCGAAAAAATCGCGAAACGAACAAAGACACCACGCTCGATCGCAGTCGACGTCTGAAGGATGAACATCGGACGCGACTGACCGAACCGACGCGACGCCGACGCGACCTCCGAACCCACAGACGCGGACGAGTCCTTTTCGCAACGACTAAAGGGCTCTCCTTGTAGTTTTTGAGTGTCCTCGACGAGCACTTGACGGCTAGTGTTCCCTACCTCCGCGCCGTTTCGGCCGTCAAGCACCCTCGAATCCGAGGGCGGATCTTCGCAGGGGCGGAGATTCGGAGCTCACCCCTCGCGGTCGAGCCGCGCGACAGTCCACCCCTCTCGGTGCACCCTGGCACTCCTCGACGAGCTCCCGACCAAAATTTCCACGGATCACTTGCCAGCCACGGCTGCGACGGCAGTCGACGATCCTTTGGACGCCACGGTCGGGAATCAATTTCGATCCTAATTGCCCGCAACTTGCATTACGTCAGACTAAGACGACCGCGATACTGATTGCCAGCTCGACCGCTATAATGCTTTGGTAAATTGTAATCGTGGAATATTGTTTCATCTACTGTTTCCATTTATTCTTTTCGAGCTTCTTTCGTCATTTACATCCCTTCGACGTTAATTGCAATTTCATTAGCCTAATAGGATACGAATGTTGTACGATATTATCGTTGAATATTCGACAAAATACTCCAGTATGAAATACTCTTCCGTGATGCGAATCGCGTAAGATTTGATACGCAAATGAGAAACAGCATTACGACGACAGTCTACTTGGATTCATGAGTGCAGCGTAGCAGAAGACTGAATAGGAATTTATTGAAATGCCAAACGCTCGAAGAAGTTTGCGAATCGTAGGGGAGTCGTCGCCCGCTCGAAACGAGGGTCGACTGGCGAACATTCCGGGGGTAAGTTACCACGGGGTGGAGCTTCCGTTCGACCAATAGGAGCGTAGGACGTAGAGAATCCCACAGGAGAAGTGTTTCGGGGGTTGATTTCAACCCTCGCGGCGGACCGACCAATCCGGTCGCTTCATCGATCAGAGCTTTTTACACCGAGAGCATACTTTACGTCGAGTGTTAATGCGAAAGAGCATTAGCGGTGCTTTTACTGTGTCACTTCGATTTTTTCTCTTACCCTTTCCTTTCAATTTTAGGCCACTCATTTCCTCTCCCTCTCCCTCTCCCTCTCCCTTACCATCTCCCTTTGCTTCGAAACCGAGATCTATCGATACCCGCAACTAGGTTAAAAGCGTTCTCGGACGTCCGCGTCGTCACGATCGTTGCACCATTTCCGCTCCTAGCCATAACTTCGAGACCATATATTATGATCTGGGTATTTGGGGTGTCCTGGGAATACCGATCGTGTTTTCCATGGATCTTTTGTTTTTCGAAACTTACACATTCTGCCAGGTCATTCTGAAACGAAATAGGTGATATACATATACGACGAGTATATTTCTATCCTTTATCTCCAACATTTTGCCAGGTCATTCTGAATACGTAAATTTTAGTCGCACTTTGAGTTGGCCGCTACTTGGAAACGTGTGACCATTCCTTTTATTTTCAACGCTTTGAATTCTCTCTTCCCAAAGACTCTTCCATTGAACCATCGAAACGTTCATCTTGAATACGAGACCACAGTAACGAAGGTGCAATAAATAGATAGCACTCGAACGGACAACAAATCGTTTCCATTTGATTTAGGTGAGATTCGATACAATGGACCCACAGTTTGTATCAAATCGCGAGTAAAGCATCCCGCATGGGTACGAATAGCCGAAAACGCACACGTGAAACGGCCACACAGACAGTCCGAAGAGCATGGTTCAGAAGAGGAACAGGTAACGGACAGGGGCGACGATGGAGCGAGTTTCCGGTTTATTCAGACTATCCTTTGTACGATCCCTGCTCGACGAAAAAGTCAAAAAGTGCGGAAGAGGGCGGACCTGACCTTCCCGACTTTTTTCTCATGAGGCTTCCACTGTTGGATTTATCAGCCGCGGGACGATTTCACCGTGGAATCGAAGAGATTTTGGAAAAACTTTGAGCTAAGTAGATGTAACGCAGCCCATAGATTCCCAAAGCAAAGGGAAGGCTCTGAAACGCATGTGCAAGGATAGACTTTGAAAAGAAAATGAATTTTCGAGGAGAAGAGCGTCCAGGGAGGCAGCACTCGATCGTCGAGAGCCGTAATACTTCGTGGCACGATCCCCTCGACATTTTCAGTCGAGGAAAGCACCACGATTGCACTGCGAGGCAACGGTCCGCCTGCGTCGGTAAAACAATGAGACGCAGACAAATTGGGTTGCGTGCTCGAAACAAGTTGGCACAGCTATCGCCAAACAGTCGTGGGATCCTGGCAAATGTTGCTCGATTGCCCCGGGAGCTCCAACTTCTCTACGTGCTTTTTTTCCTTTTTCGCTTGGAGTTTTCAGAACGAGCGAAGAGTGAAACGACTCGACGCGACGGACGAAAAATGACAAGGTGTGTCTCGTTGAATTCGATTCTAACCGAGTTAGAATGGTTGAGCGTTGGTTCTTCCGTTATAGCAAACGTTGCGTTTCCTCTTAAAGAAATTCTACTCGATAATGTTTGCACCAGCAAGTGACACAACAATTCAAAAGAATGCGTCTGGAATTCAAGTGACGAAGGCAAAATTGAGTCACCATCAAATCCTCCTTAAAATTCTTTTCTTGCAATTTTTCTTTCGTTGAAGTCACCTACGATAAATGGAACAGCCAACATTCGTTCCACGAACTGCCAACACCAATCGTAAAACGCTGTTTTGCGACAGCCTTAATTTATTGCATATTGTGGAGGTGCTTTAGGGCTTTATTGCTACCAGTGTTGGGTCTAATTGCTTCGCCAGGTGGCCAGGTGAAGCACTTTTCCTTTTTTCTCTCTCTCCCCCTCTCTCTCGTCCTCTTTCTATTTATCCTCCGTTATTCATCTCAAAGATCTCAAAAATAATCTCGAAGTAGATAAAGTAGATAAGTCGACGTTGGCAAACTAAATCTGATGTTGCCAATTGAAAACGAACGGATTAGCTAGCGAAAGAGGTGTTCGTACCTTCAGATTAACTCGAGGTCCAGCTCGGTTTTTATCGAACGTCATAACGACGGTCTTGAGAGACTGCGGTCGAGTTAATCGTTCAACTTCGATTACACGAGATTATCAGAATTTCGCGCTCGAGTCTAATCCGCATTAATCTAATAAGCACCGAGTATCGCGAAAGAGAAATAAATCATAAATTATGCGTTGCAATCGAATACTTAATTTTACGTAAATCGTTTCGGTGCTCAAAAATTGTTACAGTCCCTGGTGTAACAAGCACTCGATTGGCCACTCGAGGGTGACCAGTATCGATAGTCGCAGTCTAGTGGCACTCGAGCTTATTGAACATTCAGATTCGCAAATACATAAACGTGCACAGATGCACCCATCCCATTCACGAGGAAGGTCTCGAAGATCTAAGGGTCAGGACACTGTTCGAGGAGAAAATTTTCGAGTAAATCTTGCGCCGGCACGTACCGACAATAAATACGGACTCTCGGAGCTTCAGGTGTTTGACCGACAGGTACCGATATTGTAATGGTAATAAGGGATAGGCGAAATAACTCGTAAATGGATAAACCTCCATTCACTGCGGCACGTTTCACCCTCAACACCTGAATCTTCCCAAGCGAACCGAACTATCAAGTGGGTGTTCGAGTGTGTGTTGCAAGTGTCTTCGTCTATCTCTTTTCTAAATCAACAGAATATCGAATCAAAATCAAAATCGAAAGATAACGAACGTTTACTCTACTCTGTATTTAGAGTCCTCCTCGAAGCTTACAATTGAAAACGAGCTAGGTGATTGTTCCAGTTTTTAGACTCTCCCCGTGAAGATTAGATTCTCCAGCCTGCTCCTCTCCAGGCTCGTCAAGTTCAGCGTACGGTTCGAGCGATTTCACCATCGGCATCGGTGCTTTCGTTTCAGTTCGAGCTCACAGGTAGAAGGTAAGCGACCGTTCGCCTTTACGATTAATCCGAAATTTATGGTGGAAACCAACAGGTGTTGGCACTTGGGCTCTTTCGGTTCTCGCGTGTGTCCGGCACCGTGTAACAAGGCGTACCACTCTATACCGAAGGATTCGCCTAACCGATATGCGTGACTGCCTCTTAAACGTTTGCTTCCGGTTTCCGGTGCTATCCTCCTAATCAGATATGCTAATCGTTCCAGTATTAAAGCTATCGTATTTTCCTCTCGTTACTGATTTTTACACGAGATGATTCTCTTCGAAGAAAGATGATCCAAGGGACCATACAATAACGCGATAAACACATCGGAAAACGTCGACGATTGAAGCTTTAATGGAACCTGCAATGCATATAGTAAAGGTAATCTCTACTCGATTGCTGTAAAGTTACCATTAGGTTAGCCAACTATTTGCTTATTTCGATTAAGGTCAGATTTCGTTTTCGATAAGAACGAAATGTCGTTTTGATCTTGTCACGTCCAGTTGACGTGCGACCTATATCTTTCCGGATCGTCCTCGTTCGATGCAGATAGATACTACCGCGCGACTGTTTCCATTTTTCTATTTCTTTTCTTTTCGCACTCTCCATCGCGTCTCGTATGATCAATGATTAGATACACGTGACGATACGAAACGAAACAAATATTTATTGTTGGAATACATCCATTTTTTACCAAATCCTTTACTTTACAGGGGAAACCGGTGCTAATATTCGCGAAAGATTTCGTTCTGTTTGATAGGACGTAGAAGAAATGTACGAGCTGCTGGAGTCCAATCGATAAATGGATACGAAACTTCGTTATCGTCAACTGGAACGATTCCAATCGGCACTGAAAAAGTGGCTTAATTTGTTTAACGGAAATTGTGTTTTTTTTTACCATCAAGATAACGCGCGACCACGCACAGCAAACGAATCGATGACATTTCCGTTCCTTTTGGGGTTAAGGTATGCAAATTGATAATCAATTGTTCGTATTTGAATTAAATAACTCGGAAATCTAAATACTCGAGACTGAAAGAAGCTATTCGAGAGAAGGCGACAAAGTTCTCCAACATGAAAATTCGTAGGACGCGAATACTTTCTACGACCTTTAGTATTTCAAACGTAAAGGTACGAAAACGATTGTACAGAATGGAGGTAAAGCGAATGGTGGTCCGGTGGTAGCCTGTGCCTCGAATAACTTCTTAAATGTTTCTTAAACGACGTCGGTGGCTGGTGTTTAACGAGCCGTGCAAAGTTTGGGTCACGTTTGGCCCCGTGGCTTCTACAGGCGGCGAAGAAGGGGCCTTCTCGAGAAAGCTTTTCTGAAAGAGGCTTCCCCGAAGGCCACCCGTCGAGCCACCTACTACGAGACGTACTACGATCATTCATGACTCCGGGATCCGCTGCTCCATTGTGGGCCAGTTCATGAATGAACGTAAAACTCCATTTTTCCGTCGCCATGTTCCCTTACCTACCCCTCGTTTCTTCTACTGTGCTTGTTCATCGGGATCAACTGATTCATGTAGCCATCGAAAATTTCGTATTCGAGGGTTTTTAGACCGACTACTCGTATATATAATACCTGTCGCTTTATCGCGAGGAGTTTCACACGTAAAAAGAACGCTTCGGAGGTCGCAATCCATCCTCTCGAGCAGTTAAATTTTCTAAGAATACTCTTACCTGTAATCGTCCTCTACGTAGTCTGGTGGAAAGACATGCCAGGATGCGTCGTAACACTCGTCGTATCCGTTTGCCATTGTCCAGGTTCTTCCTTCCAGGGCGCTTCTTTTCTTTTAAAATTCGTCGCTTCGCGGCAAAGTTCGCGAGTTTGCTACCTGTGATCTAAACTCTCGATCAAATGCGAAAACGACTGATCTTTGGCGACGAGTTCATTCGAAATGATTTTTCCTCGTGGACGACACAAATTCAATCTTTTTCTTTTCGTTAAATATCGGATTTCTCGATTTCTTTTCTATTTTCTTCACGATTTTCTCGCCGACATACGAAATTATTCGGAAACGAAACAAAGGTTTCTCGCATATCTCATCTGAGGATATCGAGAAAACGCAGCTTTTTCGGAGTTGCACGACACAGAATGACACGATCCAGGTCGATAGAGAACGCAGAATTTTCGATTCGTCCAATCCGTAATAGCTGCTCTCACTTACTGAGAACTATACGAGGATATATCGATCACCTATATATTGTATCAAAAATATGGCTACCAGATAGGAGCTCCGGCAACGTTATCTGTTTGATAACACCCTATATAGATTAGTTTGACTACTGTCACGTCAGACGGTCCCAAATGATATCGGATTTTCCAAAGGTTCGATATACCGTCGCAAGAGCGATTTTATAACAAAGCAACCAGTCATTTTCGTTTAATTTTGATCATTTAATTTATCGAGATAACGCTAAAAATACTCGCAGTTACAATGTGGATACGATTTCGTTAACAGTATTTATAAAAATACGAAATAAAAGAAGAATCTCAATTAATTGCAGAACACAAAATTTCGATAGTTTTTGCAATTGCAAACAATGGGGAAACGGGGAATAAATTAAAAAGGATAAATACAAGAACAAAGACAGAAATGATAGATCGCCGTATCTTTCACGGTATCTCGGACCAATAACGATGATCCATGTTTCTATGCTAGCTCGATACTGCGAAATTCTGATAGATACGCACGTGTATGTACAATATTTAACGTTACCGTTATTTCATAATTTTCAAAGAGAATACATTCTCTTTAATTACCACTTGCTTTAGTATTGCTTGCTTTACCACTTTATTTCTATGAATAATTGTACACAATAAAAAACTACTCGAACGTGCTTGTCATTCGTTGAACTTCCATCGTCAACTTACCTGTAATGTCAAGGATGCGAAAGAGTTCACATTAGATAACCAACTAATTGTTGCTACTCGACGATCGGTTGTACCTTACAATTTGTTAATGACAAGAGACCCTCGAGGTGAAGTATCCAGGCTTAGCCGACAAGTGCTACCGAACAGAGTCTGCTACGAGTGCACTGATAAAGCGAAACATTTCCTTCCGTATCAATATTTATATATGCAACCATCCTCGATAAGCGGCCATTGATTTTGCAGTCTAACCGCGTATGTATGTTTATTCGTAAACATAAAATTTTAAAGTCCGTAGTATCATCTCGAACAAGTAGACTGACCAAGATTTAAAGGGTGCATCGTCCTTAGGACGATGAGAGTGAAAGTGTTTGCCTTCGATATTTTAGCCGTTCGAAATTTTACAATGTCGCAAAGTGTACTACACGTGTGATGAATGTTAGATGATTTTAAATGACGCGAAACGATGTAGTAATGTTTCGTAGTCGAAGTGCTTTCAATTTGTTTCTAAAGTCCTGCAAATATGAAAATAAAAATATTAAGTGGTATCATTACAATTACCTGAATGCAAACATGAAATTTTCGACAAGAATCGAATTAGGTAGTCGCAAGAATAAAACACACTTTGATTACTTCGAAAGAAGATAATTCACGTTAAAAATACGTTGGGTTCAGAAATCAATAAACGATAAGTTGTATCGATTCTATTTTAAAACTTTGTACGTAACAAATTTAAACCCCTCGGACTTTCACTGCGATGGTTGGCAATAAATTCGAATCGAGTAACATCGTAAAATGGTTTTCTTTTGTTTCGTTAGCGGTCCATAAAGATCGGTCAAACGATCGCGTTACGAGCTTTCTTGCGTCCGGTTTCTAGGACAGTGTAACGCACTTATCTGTTCATCAAGCACACGCACGACATATGTGCCGTAATCTCTGCTGCTTATCGTGATTCACGATAAGGGTTATTTTTTTCGCAAGAATGAATGCGTTCGTATCGATATTATTAATATCGTGAACAATAAAACGACGCGTCTCGTTGGTTTGTTACATTGTTGCTTTCTACCGATTAAAAAAAAAAAAAATGATTTCCTATCAGAGAACAAATTAATAAATTGCGTAACGTTCTTAATATCGTACTATACACGGTGCCCCGAGGTGAGAATATTAAGAAAATATCGCGTTAAATTAAATTTTCACAACTGATTGATTGTTTCGCAACGTGAAAATTAGAGTCTAATTTAGCGATGATGAAACATTTTTCGTTATCGAAATCGAGCAATTGGAAACATCGACACCGATTTATTCTAATTTCGCTAATGCCGAAGCGTAATTAAACGTTTAGTTTTAGTCAAAACAATTTAACTTCGCTTCGACCGAAGGTTACTGGCAATATATCGATTATATCATCGTGGTACGAACGGTATTGCGTTCAGCGACGGTTTCGTAACACAAGAGACATTGGATTAAATAATTTATTAATGCAAAAATTCATTGTACATCTACAGCGATAACCATACAAGTTGGCCTCGCGCGATGAGATAACCGTACGGTCGTGAAACGTGAGATATACATAATAAACTTCGGAATATCCATTCCTTTCGTCGACTCGCATACATACATTCGTGAATTTTCGCATATCGAACGATGCAACGGAACGGAGAAATAATAAGGGGGTGAATGGATAATATAGTTCGGCGAAGAGGCGAGAAATAATCATCTCCAATGATCCGCGATCGCGATCAAACGATATGGGAATACAAATTATCGAAATCGCACTAGCTAGTTCACGAAGCAAAATCATAATTGACGGTACAAAAAATATATCGTCTCCTTAACGATATCAAGTTATTAGAGCGATAAGAAAATTTGAAATTGATTCTTTTTCTCTTCAAAAGCTTCAATTTCAATTCGATAGCTGTTCTGTACTTGCGCCAGGCCGAAAAGCATATGGCTAAACGAGCCTCGGGTTTGGTCACATCTACCGATTAAATGTCTCTCCAACGCCAACGATTCGCTTTAAATCGCGGTCGATAATAGCCGATAACACAGTCGTATCTCCGGAAGCACACCCATTCCAACGCTAATCACGCAACATTCGATCTTGACCGCTCGATTACAACTCTGCAACCTTATCGATAACGTTATTCCTCGTGCGCTGCTACATGTACCAAAAAGAAGCAATCGTTTCGTAAGACTGAACTCGTGATGCGAACAGGAGGACTCGTTTTACCCATAAACCCCATCGTGGCATATGGACCTTGCGCAAAGCCAGAGCGTGTCTAGCTCAGATCATTTCTTTCATCGAGAACTCGTTCTCTATTTAACGTCTTTTCGTCCGGGCTTCTTGCGCGGACTGATCTTCTTTTCTTGAGTGGCTGGCGCGTGCTCTTTCGCTGCGACACCTCGCTGCTGCGGCGCCGGCGGAGCATTGCTAGATCTGCGATTGAATGTCTTGTGCTCGGAGACCACTCCGTTTGTGACTTCCGGGGGTGGTGGAGGTGGTGGCGGAGGTGTCGATACTTGAAACAGGTATACGTTCATTAGTATTCGTCTACATCGGATATTATTACGCGTAATGAAGTTTATTTATCGAAATACCTGGGGGCATGGGTGGCAAAGAAGAAGATACTTCTCCGTTGATAAAATCGTTGGTTGTGCGGCTGATTGTTTGCAGCTTGGACTCTACAAAGATAAAAACGTTCCTTGTCATTTCGATTGGTTTCACGTAACGCGATTTAACGCCGTTTCTGCTTATAATTGTCCGATCGAGTATTATCACCCTTACGAGAATTATCGCGACACTATTTTAAATTTCAATTTCGATTTTAGATTATATTTATACTTGATGCACAGAAGATGCATTTCTTTTATTTATTAGGACAGGCCGTAGTAAACAGTCTACGAGACTTTTCGTATTTCCTGTTGGAAAGTTTCTTTATTCTATTGTGGTATATCGTTTCTTAGATGTCGAACGATTCATTATCGACTCTTGGACTGAAAAAGAGGCACGGTGGAACCGAGTGGTTCGACAGGAACTGATTGTTCCAGCGAGTCACTCGAACATCGACCGATGGCCGTGTAAAATGGCCAATCGTCGTCCTCGACGAATTCCTTCGCTGACGAGTAGTCACACGACTCACCCGAACTGTCCACACCTGTGATGCCTGCTACCATCTCCTCTGTCGTTGCCATGCACGTATCCTGCAATTTATATAAACAACAACAAAAATGTACGCATTACCTCTGACACTAATCTGGGATCTAATCTGAGGCACTCAAACAGTTGTACGCTAACTCGAAACGTTCTCTAATTATTTTGTTCCAACGTATCGGTAGAATTGTGCAAGGGAATCGAGTGTAACAGTTTCCTACGCGTTATTTTTCCCATGTGCGCGATTCCGTTTTTCACTTGTTTTTCAAATTTGAGAGTGATCGCTCGTTCGAGCGCATTACGTTCGTTAAATCCATCGGTGAACCGCGCGATTAATCCAACTTATCGTTCCTGATGAACTTTGACCGACGCGTTCGTAACGTGCTGCTTAAAATCCTACGAGTTTTGTCTGTTGGAATTTTGAAGTCTGACGCGAATCTCTCAACGTTAACGTTGATTTTCAAACTCTCGAGTTCAAATTGATATTTGGTTACAGTACATTACACATTTTTCCCTTTCTTCCCATTACACGTTTATTTCGTTTCTAATTTCATACATTTCATTCTGTAACGATTAAAAGCGTGTCTAACAAATATTTATACTTTGCGAACTTTTCTTTTTTAAGTTAATTGTCCCTTTTTTTCTTTTTATAATATAAACACCGATTAGTAGTATCTCGTAATAATTACAATTGGGATGTCTTAATTAGCACTATCATTATCTGCGGATAAAATGTTGGTCTGTGATAAGATAGCAAAGTGTCATAGTATTCAGCAATTATTATTAAATAATTTGAAGTTTCAGAGTTAACGAATTCAATTGATCGTTCAACAGTCTATAAGTCCATGAACATAGTAAAATATTCGTAAAGTTCAAGAATTTCTTGTACTCGTATTACGGTCATTTCTTTTTCATGCAACGAATAACTTGATTGAATAAAACAAAATAAATAGATTAAAAATCATCCGTATTCAGTTTTACTGTTAGATCAGTAATACCGGTCGCTACGCAATCCCACCTACTCTTTACTGGTTCTACTTTAAACACAAAGCGCTTAAAATGAAATATGCGTAAACAATAAATAAAGCAACTGCGGATATTGCCTTTACCTTATCAAGAGGAAATATCGTGGGCTTCTCTTTGTTATCTTTTACAATCTCTGTGAGCTCTTTTTGAACCTCCGTTACATCGGTTACAGACGTGTTCTGGCCCACCTCGTTTTCACTGTTCGATGTGCTCGATTCCGTGCTACAGTTGGTGGGCTGAAAGGTTATCGAACGACTATAATCGTGGGTTTAGAATTGAAACTTACAGATGAAGAAAGATGTATAATCCTTTTATCACAGACGTATATATTAGGTATACGACTCGATAAATTTCAAAGTTACACTATACGTTAACCGTAGAATTAGTTGGACAGAGGAGGGGACTTGTGAGGGGATTTCATAAACGAGCATTCTCGGTTATTAATTTTCACTTACATCGAAATCTGGGTCGTCCGTGCTATCTTCCAATGCAAGTCTGTCGAGCTTTGCTAGCAGTGTTTCGTTGTCAGACTCATCGCTGCTCTCTTCGTCTGAGCTCACCTGAGAGAACTTGCGTTTAGCTTCAGTGTGCATAGGACTTTCAGCTGACTCCGTGGTTGACTTTTCGTCCGGTGTTGCTACCTGCAACAATTTATCCGCTACGATATCAGACTTTGAACGATATCTTCCTTGCAGTTGAAAATGTTATCGAAATTCTAGAGACGATCTGACCTGCTCGACAACGTTGCCATTTCACGAGCAATAACTACAAAAATCTCACGTCAACTTCAACACAGATGAACGAGCATACGAGTATACTCACCATTTCGAGATCCATGCCGGTTATGCGAATTTTAGTCGGTGGAGGCGACGGTGATGACTTAGACGTGTCCAAACAAGACAGTGAAGACAGTGTCAATCTGATAGATCTGATCAGGGCTTTCTCGGTCTCGATCATCGTCAACCTCTTGTCCTACATCCATCACCGAGACTATTATCGTGCTGAGTTTAATTAACTGGCTAGCGACTGACCGAATCGAACATAGAATATTTACCACTACCGTCAAATGCCACGCTAATCACTGGGTATATTTTTGGACGCGACAAATATTATTTGTCAACGATCATGCTCGAATTTAACCAAAACTACGCAAGTTGCGGAATGAACACGGGAAAGTACAATTACGAAAACATATACGTAAATAAAAATTCTTCGATTTACCTTGTTACCCATCTTGCGCCTCGCAGATTTTATCGCCTTTATGTTCAATGCTCTTAGTCGTCTGCGACTCTTTTGCAAGAACTTTACCTATAAGAGAATTTTCTCGTCGTACAAGCGATATCGGAGTAATGTGCAGTTTCTTAGAAATTAAAATATAACATACCATTCCACTCGGTTCTATTCGTGGGTATCTCAGAACGAAAGCACCCGCGTTGAGCGCAACTCTGACGATACGCAAGATGACCAACCCCGGCAGAAATAGAATCCAAGGCAAAGGCCTAACTAGCTCTATTTTTCCAAACACCTTTCCATTCTCTTCTATATCGACAAAGGAATAGTGAAAACGCTTCGTTTGTTCGTTAGTCGACGAAAACTTTTGCTAACATACCGGCGTTGATCTCTTGAGCCGGTAGACTCCATTGCGTAGACTTCTCGACGACCCACAGAAACGAATCGACAAGCTTAAACAACATCTGTCCTAAAGTAGTCTGCGACGCTGTGACGACAGTCGATTCCATCCATCCTGTTATACTTTCCGGTGCTTTCGACGCGTTTTCGCCGCTTACAGCGGACGGAGATCCTTCATCCTCCATGTTTCAACTAAATCTAGGAGTAAAAGCAGAAGTTCTTTCTTATTTCTCAAGTACTCTACTTTTTACTATTCGATAGATAGCAACCCTAATCGTGGATTAAATTTTCCCCGCGCGAGCCTACAGCAGTTTCGACTTTGTACCTCCCGAACAGTGTACAGTTCGTCGACGGGTTCACTTGAATCAAATCTCTCTCCATTAAGCCGCAACGAGTTGGTACTAAATAAACAATAAGAAATGCTTCGATGATAATCCGCTATCGAGAAGGCATGACCTCGCCCTATCGCTTGGAGCGCAGAAACTCCCATGATCGAACGTCCCCGCTGCTAAATGCGACGTTTAATGGCAAAATAAACAAATTTTTATACGTTATTTATACAATTTGTACAATTCAGAAACACATAGTCGGGAAAGGTCCATCGCCACATCCGAGGTGAGCCAAATTTTCTTTAAGAAGCTCTAAACGTTCGATAACGTATCAGACAATTGTGTCTACGTGAAAGATTAAAATTTCTCTAAGATACTCGACAGAACAATTTTTCTTCGTGGACTTGGCGGCCGGGCAACAACAAACGGTAGAAAAGTGGCGGCAATAATTTCGCTATCGGAAAGGGGCTGACCTGTTGTTATCCGCTGGGGCGCGGAGAAACTCGTAACCAAGTGTCCAGATCGCGACATAACGCACAACGCGAAATAAAAATTGTATCTTCTCGTATGGAGAGGGAACGGAAACAGAAGATACAAGAAATGAGAGAAAATAGGAGACTCACCGAACTGTTATGTTAGTCGCACAACGATACGATCGACACGAGCTGCTCGCGACAGACTAATACACGCTCAAAGAAACACCGCAGGAGCTTGTTTTTCTGTTGTTTTGATTCACGAGGACGAACGTTGATACTGTACAATGAAACGAACTGTCTGAATTCAAACAGCCTTACTCGAAAATTTCGAAACGAAAGACAACATACGGTCAGGGCCGGCCTTATTAGGAATTTAAAAATATTTTTAAACGGATTCCTAGATTCACATCTAACATCCGTTTGAACGAATTGATTTATCAATAATATTAATCTTATTTGTGATTAGAAAACATTCGTGCAAAGTCAGTTTTACTTGACAAGAGTCGAGTAAATTACCCTAACGCGGGGCTCCAATTTACTTTCGATAACATATACATATACATAACATACCAACAACTAACGGTCAACGATTTTGAAAATATGGCTTCCACCACAATTATTTACCGTTTGATAACTAATTGCAACCGATTAAAAGTTTGGGAATAGCAGTGGGAGTAATAGTAGAAGGCAACGTTTAGCAACATTTATCAATTCCCACGTGCCACCAACCAACGCTGCGACCTTAAAAGTAATCTCACGACTATTTTGCTTGAAGATATTCGTAAGATAATATACATACATAATCAGAAAATTTGGTTTCTGAAGCGTTCAACGAAATCAACAGAATTATTTGCTACATCGGTGACGTTTTTAAGGCAGTGCACTCCCTAGAGTCCTATCGTTTGTTACCTCAACACATCCAGTAATCTGACACTCGGCGACTGGTTTCGCGTTTCGACTTTTCAGTATACATACGTAGATATAATGCAAGTGTTTACCGACCACGTAAAAAACAGTTCATTCATTCTTTCCATTCTTTAATTCAACGATATTTCATCGTCTTTTAGTCGTTAAAGGACTGAGATTAGCATCTGTAAATTATTATTATACAATGGACTATGATCGTTTTCCTTTGGACTCTTTGATTGTCGTTACAAGCGACGCCGAGATCGCGGCCACTATTAATAGAGGTAATTGCTCTTGATCGAAAGGAAACGAAGAATAGCCAGAATAAGACTACTACTTACAAGTCGAAGCTACTAGCGCAAAGCCTAACGCGATCGAGACTTTATCGAACCGCGCCTCGCGAAGCCGTACGAACTATGAACTCGCCGGCGCCGCACCGGTCGTCCGAACACGATCGACGAATAACTGGTATCGACTGACGCACGCACCCCGTGCTGGGTGAAGAAAACCACAGATCGGGATCGCAAAAATCACATTACATAACTGCTCGGAATATAACGTTACTCGGACTGAAAACGTAACGCTCCTCTCCGATCGCGGAGAATCGTGTACAAATACAGGTAGAACAGCGAAACAGTTAGGGTAGCGATACGTTTAGGACCCCATAAAAAAATATATATATATATATCGTACTTGATTTAATATGAACCCTATACACTCCAAAGGCTAGCTGCTCTAAAGCTTGTTAGAGTCTCACCCGGTCTCACTTGGTCTGAGAATCGACAAGTTGATCCCGTGTCCTCGGGATCCTCGAAGGACGAACCTACCCGTGGTCCGAGGAAAACGATGATCCTCTAGCGAACGCGTAATGGAGATTTCTGGTCAACTGATGGTCGCTGGAACGACTGACAGAGGAGACGCGTAGATCAGCGAACTCTTTCCCGGCACCGTATCTCCGTGGTTACTTCGCGATCGCGCACGTTCATGGCCACCAAGCGAAGCCTTTGAATCTGTTCTCTTCTCTGATTTTTGGCCGCATTCTAAAACACCGCGCGCGTTCAACTGTTTGCGCGGCGGTACGCGCGCGGACGTCGATCGAATAATTTGTCCGTTCCGCTACGATGCAATTGTAATTGGAGATCAGTTGTCGAAGCGAGTAAGACACTCTTATCTGAATATATGTATACGAGCCTATGTGTGTGCTACGCATTGGATATTGCTAACTCTATGCTTTTAAAGCGCCGGTTTTTACTTTTTCAGTTGTTATTGACCGCAAAGAATACCCTCTCAGTCAAATAGAACGAAAGGTATTTTTAATTATATCTATTTTGTCGCTTGGGAAGTTGAACGGAACAGAATTAGGTAAAGAAATGACAGATACGATATTGAATTCTATTAAACGTGTATTACCTCACCAATAAAGTTTCAATTTTGAAGCACATTCGCGCAATGATCACTGAATACGCACATATAGACCAATGGCGTAGCGCAAGTTAAAGTGTCATCTTCCGTCGTTACCAGCCTTTCATAGCGCGATTCACGTCCTATTCAAACAATAGTAACAATATTCGCCGCGTTCCTTATAGTTAATCCGATTCTTAAAAACCTAAAATCGATACATAATTTGTCTTTGTAAGTGAACTGACGATTTCGAGAGGTACACCAGCCATACACACATAGCAGATATGTGCATACAGGTCGCTTACGCGCCAAATTACTTTCGCTCGTTGTTTCTCATACACTCTGGCTACATAATTTTACAAATTTTCCAAAGCGAAGCGCTCCGTTGCTTCGCGATTTTGCAACGTACTTATCGGAGGATCCGGATATACTTTGCGTTTGCTCTAATAATTCAAGTTTTCTCTGTAATCTCAATGTTATCGCTGTTTAAGGCCATTCTTATCTTGAAAGACGGACCATGGAGATGCAAAGATGGCAGTACCACTCTTTCGCGCGCAACCAATAATATGCAAATAAACTCACGCATCGATTAAAATTCAACGAACCATAAGACTATCTGTTGCATCTCCAAAAATTAATGCTGGGAACCGAAGTGAATTATTATATTTGTATTCTATTTCGAAGAAATGTACATTAAACATTTTCAGTTGCCATTTTTTGTTGCATTTGCAAGTTTATAATTATGCGTTTAAAGTGAAGACATACATAAAATCGAAGATGAGAAATATTTATAAAACTTGTGAAATTCAATTTTAATGCGTTTCGTATCAGCTTTAATATACATCATTCTTTCGTTCTACGGTTGACAAAATTAATATTCTTTACAATCAGTTACGTACATCTTTCATTTTGCATAATTGCACGAGGTAAATGGCTTGAACGAGTTGAACAGCACTAAATATGCACGATAGAAGATCTATGTTTCGGAGAATTACGCGAGGTACGAAACGACAAACCAACGAGATCGATTGCCCTATTTACCGATAAAAACGTAGTGCATATACAAACAAAAACATCCACACGTTAATGAACATAGTTAACATAAAATCACTGTATAACAAACTAGACCCAGATGATCGTTAAATATCTGCATCGATAATTTTTTTTTTTTTTCTTAGTATTTCGAGACTTGTCGATGTTCGAAGCTCTACCATTATAGTAATACGATAAAGAACTATGAGAATATGTAAATTACTAACTCTGTTTCGTTCTTAACAATTACTTCCTGTAGAGTACAACTTATACGAGTGCATTATTCGACGTATCTCTATCCTAATTACGTACGAATCTCAATGAACTCGGTGAACTTTGTAACAAAATGAAGGCGTAAATGCTTAAATAGCTATACAAAGTAGCTTATTAATTATGCAAAGGGTACTGATACTGGCTCACAAACATAGTAAACTGAAACGCACTTGGACAATTTGCTGTTATTCTTTTCATAATGATTGTACAAAAAGAGAAGTTAATATTCTTCCGTATCATCGGGCTCGAGTCCGTCCCCTAATTCTTCAGGTGGTGCAAATCCTTCCTACGTGAAAGTAAAAGTAGTAACATGAATGATTCGTAAAAAAGAATCTCAAATGGTTGTTTCATATACGAACGTACCTCCGTTGCATAAAGGACTTCTAAGATTTTATTTATTATTGGCGGAGGATTATCACAATCTTGGCACATAACTTCGATATCGCGTAATTTACCGAAATAGAAATCTCTTTCCTTCTCCAATCCTTCGAGTGACATTTTTAACTCCATCACCTAAATTAAATTATACTTGTTAACGTAAAAGTATCGCACCGTTGATCCGATCGCAACTTGTCACTCTTGCTATACCTGTGCACTGAGCTCTTCAACTTTTCCAGGATCTCCACGATTTCCAATTGCCGCTGTTTTCACTTGTGGGCGATGGGTTGGAACAACTTTGTTAACTGAATTTAAAAGTTAAATATATTATTCTACGTTCTCTATACATATTTCGTTATTATCTTTAAAAATGCAAAATGATATTTACTATATTTACATAGGTATTACGTATAATTCATAAAAGGACTATAATTACTTAGTTGCAAATCTACTTTTATATAAAATTAATACTATATAGACTATAGATACTTATACAAGCAGTGCAAGTATGCTAAATGGAAGCATAACAGTCAGGAAGCGTGCATCGACATATTTATGCGTAATATATGTGAAAATCAAACAAATAAAATTAACTATTAAAATTTTTTAAACAAATTTTTGTTTAACTTGCAATAAATTCGGGATTATTGTGATACTTCATGCAACAATCAAAGGGAATGAATACTACTGAATCGTACATGATCATTTGAGTAGTTAAACGAAGGATGAACAACCAAAATTATGTTTCTTTCGAAAAGATTAAAATAATTTGTTAATATTTTAGTAGAGAACACTACAGTTTTTGAGAGACTTTTTTTGGATGGCTACCCTCCTTTAAACTTCTCAATAATGAAAAAGAAAAAAGTAAGGAAAACGAGCATAAAAACATTTTAAAAAAAATAATTACTATTATGGCTTATAGACTTGGTACTAGCTGCAAGTGCAGGAGGCGCAGTTCCCTCACCTGAAGTGAAATTTTTTCCTTACATTATTAGGACTCGCAAGTCTATTATTTTTCCGTGTGTACAATTTAAATTAATAATGCTTCAGCAAAACAGAAAACATTAACATTTAACAATCCAATATATAACTTTACCAAATAAATTTACATCTTCTAAATTATTATTTTTGTATAATTAAAAGAGACCGACTTATTGATCGATTAGCGGAAAGCCAATGTTAAGTATGTGATTATTTTGAAATCTCAATTATCTTTAATAAATTTTTGCATTATGTTTAGTGGTGTAATTTCAAATAAAACAAAGAAGAAAAAGTTGTGAAATAATGTACCAATACGAGCAGCTGATTTAGGCGAATTTGCATCGCGTGGTGTGGCGCGTTTTACGTTAGTGCCGTGCGATGCATTACTTCCACCACTACCCATGGGCTCTCCTCCTCGCATAGCAAGTGCATCGTATGGTTCTGTTCTGGAGTAGTTTACATCAAAGAATTTCTTGAACCATTGCAAAAATTCGAAGTTGTCTTGGAATCTGCCTTTCACCAGCCTATCAATTGGAACAATCTGCAAATGATTAGCAAAAAGCATGTGGAACAAAATAATAAAATAAACAAAAAATTAGTAAAATACGATAAAAATAAAGATTCAAGTAGTAAACAAATATTTAATATTTCGCAACCGATAATATGATTTATAATCGAAATAAGTACTGAAAAAAAAAAATGAAAGAGAAAACGAAGTTTAAAAATTCATGTTATGTAATTATGATACTTTATAATATTTAAATTTCATATGTCTATATAAAGATTAAAGAAAATTCAATCTGTTCTATACCCTTAAGACGATCTGTTACTCCCTGCTCAAGTGTATTTATAGACTGATAAAAATAACAAACAGTCATGATAGCATTCTACTTCTATAGTAAATAAGTGTTTTAGAACGTTTTTTTGTATTCCTGTCTCTTCTGTTCGTATAAAAAGTAAATACCGTTTATTATATTTAAAACGTATACAACATTCGGTGTTGCATAACTAAACATAATGCAAAAGTAAAACGTAAAAGTCTACTTAAACTTAAAATAGATAAATGGTATGTCAAGAAAAATACTGTGCTCTCGGATGATTTAAAATCGTGTAAGTATCTGTACATTTATGTGATTAAAATTGCAAAAGCAGAAAGTGCTTTCTACTTTACAACAATTACCCCCTAAAATATCTAGATGCTTTATATGTAAAGTGCAAATATACACAGCCAGAATGATCATTTATGCAGCATAGTTAAGTGATTTGTAGATCTCTATAAATAATGATAATAGCATGCAAAAAGCAACACTATTAAATTGACACGATATTGCTATACCCTGCTGTTGGCGAGGGACAATGTTACGTTGTTGTATATGCTTTTGTTGCATTTGTGGCTGCTTTGTTTGAGGAGGTAAAGGTACCAACTGAGGGTTCGATAAATTATGCGTTCCATCAACACCAGAACCCAATGGTATACAACCACGTGCCTCGTAAGCATCGTAGTCGCGGCCATCGTAATTCGCATCAAAGAATTTCTTGAACCATTGTAGGAATTCAAAATTGTCTTGAAAGCGGCCTTTTACCAATTTATCCACTGGTATTACCTGAACCATTTTCATAATAATAAGATTACAATTTCCTGCATATCGCAAGTCGTATAACAAAACTGTTTTCCGTGGGGCAACATGATTCCACATATCGACATGATATCTTCTCTCATTACTCAGGCTTACCTTGACATTAGTGTCTCATTTCATTAACGCACATTTGAAACTATATTTGTTGCTGAACTACATAATACATAATTTTTAAATAAGCAATTCATAATGTAAATATAAATAATAGAGGCTTAAACCGTTTCTTATTTCCTTGTCTGAGAAATATATATGCGTACATGTATACCAATAATTAAATCATAACGATAAATGCAAATGAATTGTATAGCGGCGATTGAAATAAATATTTTCAGACAAAAATCGTTCAAATAATACTTGTAATAAATATTTTAAATTGTTATTCCTATATTTACCAATTAACAACAAAATTGTATACCTAAAATTTTATACGATCTCTATCTTAAGTAAATCGCATTAATATCTTTCTCGCTTACCTTATCTACATTCATCTTTTTGAAACCTCCTTGAAGAATTTTGAAATTCTGTATGTATTCGTGCTCGAGGTTAGTTTTGAATTTAACTCTCTTCAAAGGTACACTACCAGGGAAAAGCATATCCATAAATTGACAGTAAACAGCACCGGTACATAACTCTTCGATCTTGTTGAATGATGATTGCAAACAATCATTCACCCAGGCTAACATATCGTGTCGACTCAGATTCTCCGTTGTAACATTTGTTGCATAGACGTTGACAGCCATATTGCTAGCCTTCTTTTAGTAAACGGCTGAAACATAATAAATCTACAAGTTAAATAGCGTCCTCCTGTATAACATGTTATCAGTGCATTGATAGAATGAAATATATATGTTACATGTAGAATTGATCGGTTCTAAAGTCCGTTAAAAACACAGTGGCTCGTGTAACAAATTGATCGATTAATTATAAAACGATCATACAGTGTCCCTTAAACGGTTAATTTTATAGCAGACACAAAAGGAACAACATTCCATTCACTTTTTTGGCCCGAAACACTCTCCGTCGACATATTCGGGACTCTTTCTGCGACGTGCCACGACTTCGAATCGCATATATTTCTTCGAAATGTAACACCAGCCACTGATTTAGATCTTAAAAATGTATCGAAAGTCTCTTGGAATTTCTCTAAATCTTCAAATACATCTATAATAATTTACCAAATAACGTGAAAACACCGTAACACCAATCGGGAGTGGTTCCCGCACGCAGATGACAAATGTATGTACACTAGATCGTTCAAATGCGCATACAACGGAAACTTCTAATAACGGTTTCTCCAGCAACGATTGGACAGTACACACGTACCGCACTAAATTTTATCGAGAAATTCAGGGACTTCTATACAAATTTTCCTCTCACACTTATCTTCCTGAGTAATTTATTTTTACCGTGTACTCGATAGAGGCTATTTCACCGAATTGACTGCGTAGCAACAACACTTTTACGCGTTTGTCAAAGAAATTAACAAACGAACACAACCACACTTTAAAGATTTCAGCCGCCGGTATCCAAGTTCGTTCCTCTGAGATACGTTCAAAATTGAAGAATTCCCGATATCCGTTAATGGAGGAGATCAAATCTTTGGGTGCATTCCACTCAGACAACTGATCCCGATCCATGATCCATATTACTAGAAACCACTAGACTTTACCGGTGAGCGAACCTTACTGAGCGCTACGGTGAGCGAACAGAGGAGCGACGCACTCACTAGACGTCTACTTTCGACATGATCAGAGATCAGTTCAGTCGTCACTTTTTAGTTTTTACACCATACACCTCCCAACACCTATTGGGAGAATCAAAAATAGAAAGAAAATGTCATCTAAATCTACTAGGTTGGAATATAAATGAATATCCACTAGTGTGAATGTACTATTATTCTTTATACATAATAAATATTTAAAAATAATACAATCTATAAAATTAATTTTAATTTCTCCATTTGACTGATGGTAAACGCAATGCACTTTCCGCATAGAAATATTCCTCTGATTGTTGTTGCAATTTAGTTTTATACTCTATTAACGCAGCACGATCTGCTTGCTGTACGAGAATCTAAACAATGAAAAGAATATAAGACCAATGAATTAAATCTATTATAAATATTTAGTTGAATATGTCAATACTTACATCAATGGCTATTCTAAAGCAATGCATGAGTTTCGCCAATTCTAATCGTCTTTCTGTATTGTCAATAAATTTTAAATACCTTTCAAGAATATCGGACGGTGCGTCATTTTTGTGCAATATTTTTAATACATCTTCGATGGGTAGATGAATTTGCAACTTTTTACTTCCTAGCCAGCCCTAGCAATTAGATATTGTTATTAATAATTTATCGATAAAAACGATTTAAAATAAATATTGGGTTACCTTTGTAAGAAGTAATCGATCAACGTCATCCCATTCACCGACCGATGCTCTAACTTCTAACGCAACTTTCTGGTACTGTCTAGGAGATATATTATGTTGCTGAGATAATGTTGTAGGAGACATTAAAGATCCTTCTTGTAAATTCCAATGACTTTTGCACGCGTGTCGCAAACAATCGAGAACGGAGGAATTTAATTCTATTTGTTCATTGCCATCTATTTTTGTTGCCATTTGCCATTCTAATAATGTTAACACAACTGAATTTAATATCTAAATAAACTGTTACTATGTTCAGAAAGACAATAGTTTACCAAGTAGTTTTATGTAGGAACGAACAAACGAAGCTTCATTACAATCAGTTAACGTTGAAAATTGTGTTTTATAACTATTTCGAAGTTTATTCAACAGTCTATCAGGATCTCGAGTATTTTTCATAATAATATGTAAAGTTTTCATCTAAAATGAAGTATGATATTGTAATATTGATCGATGTAAAAGTTTATGTTTGATGAAAACTTACCGCAGCATCCATAGATTGTCCTAGCATTCTGTAAAAATTGTGAATTGTTAGAAAAATAAAGAAATAAATTTTATGAGAATGCATCTAATAATACATACGTTAAAATATCGGTAATTTCATTCATCTGTAATCTCGTTGAAAGATATCGTATATATACATGTACAGCATCTGGTTTTTCAGCTAATATTCTTTGTACCAAAGATCTTTTAAGAGTTTTTGTAAGATATAGAATAATCTGAAACATTATTTTTGTATATACATAGAAAATAAACTTACCATATGTATTTCAAAAGTTATGAAAATAATAGATATTACTATCAAAATTGCGTTTCCATCTCCACTTGTTATAGCAGCATCCAATAAGCCAGTTTTAGAGGCAAGCGATTTATATTGTTCTAGTGAATATGGCTGACCGAGTAAAATCTTTCTAAGAGTTATATCTGACTGCATACCTGTTGTTTCCGATTGAAGATTTTGTAATTTATCCATTGCCAGAACTACAGAACATAAAATGTTTTACACAACTTATGCATTTTTATTATTATGCAGTCAACGATTGATACTATTAATGAAAGCAGAAACTCCTTCAACCATCGCATGCATTAGTTTGTATACGAATTTACTGACATACTGCAGGAAAGTGTTTTCTCCGATATAACGGACAGCACAGGCTTCAATGGTTGATAATCATCTGCAGTTTTTAATGCTGCCTCCGATGTTGAAGCATTGGAAATACCAGCCCATAGTTTATCCGTATCAGTCTTTGACACTCCAAACAATTGGTCCACCTGTATTGTATGATATTAATTCATTTTCTGATAATAAAAGTATATGCGCTTGGTAGTAATCGAATTAATTTCATAACCCAACCTCGTTATTTTCAAAACAGAATGATCGTTTTTCACTGCTGTACCAAAAATCCTCGTCATCTTTAGCAGAGTTCATACTTATAATACTGTACAAATGATTAATTCACTTATGCATTTATTATACGAGATCTTCAAATAATGAATATTGTTTCGATCGAATAGAATTTTTACAATTTGTCGAGCCTTACTCGACATGCGATCACAGAAGGTTAGAGTACGCGATTGATGGACACAGCCATCTAACGGTGAATAGACTGAACTAATTTTTCGACGGTATGTATACAGGGTGTCCCAGAACTCCTGTAAGAACCGGAAGTGGAAGGTAGCTAACACGATTCTAAACCATAATTTTCTGCACAAAAATGTCGACGGTGTTTGACGGTTCGATTATCATCTCGTAGGCGCAGAGGTACCCCTTTCATGCGGCAACCTGTGCTAACCGGTTTGTTGGTTCGGTTGCTATCTTGTAGGCGCAGATATGCCCCCAGTATGCGG